TGCAATGCAAATTGAGATGAAGATTTGGGGTGAAATAATAGAACCTTTTTTGTTTTTAGGCACTTTACATGATTTGATGGAGGAAGGGAGAGTCAAAAGACAATAAAATAATACTCTATCAGTTGGCTGGTCACAAAATATCCCAACACCTAGGTTCATTGATGATGAAAGAGATTTTGTAACAACCAAAGTGGAAACTAAAGAAATAAAGTTACTTTTATCTTCAAGAACCATCAATTAATTGGTCTGTTGTTAAGGAAATACGTGCTTAACGTTTGGCACTGACCTTAGTTATCCAAGGTTTTCTGTGACAATGTATGACTAATGTTTATAAATTGTCCATAAACATTCAAATCATTTTTATCTACTCATTTTGATGGATCGACAAGTTCTAATCACTTTTTTTATCGCTTAATTATATTTATTTAAATCAAACCATTTATGAACAATTTCCAAAGATACTCGATCAAAAAAATCGTCTACGTGATAGTTAGGAATGAATTTTTTTCGCCCCCCGTCTTGCCTCGAATGGTAAATGGGACAGGAAAGAGGAACGTGGTTCACTAAATTTCCTGAATCCACCTCGATTTATTTTATTCTTGTTTGTATCATTTTAAAAAGTAATTACGCGAAAGAAAATAATTAAATGGTCGCAGTAAATGTGTATATTTTAATGCCCACCCCTTCCTGCCCCCTCACATTCTTGTCTTGCCTCCTAAAAATTCTTGACGGGTGCGGGAATGGGAATGGTTGTTTCGTTCCTATCCCACCCCATTACCATCACTAATTAGTGGGATCATTATTATATTATCTAATGAAGTTGAGATGTAATATTGACATCATTGTCACCTAGACTCGGGTTAGATAACATAGCCTCCATTTGACAAGATTTTATAAATTATTTATAATTTTATCCATGACTTATTTATAAGTTACACTCTTTATAAATTCTTGGTAAACGAATGCTTATTCAATATTAGTTATTTGAAAATAATGTCCACGCCGCGATCCATCTCACGAAGTACCAATTTGGTCTTTTCATCTACTTAACCCTTAAAAAAGATAGTATTTTTATTTTGTCAAAAAGATGATTATACTTTGTGTGTTGCTTAGCACAACGGTACTCCTTAAGCCTCTTGAGCTCTTCGGATAATAAATTTTATATACTACTGACTTTTAAAGAACGTGTGGTTAAAAAATAGGAAATTTTTTTAAATTTACGTGTAAAATTATTTTGCTGAAAAAGTATATGATTAAAAATGAGTTTTAAGAAAGATGATTATTTTGGGAACGAGGCTCAACATGGCTAAATGGTTCCTCTCTATATAAAATAAAAGTATTTTGTATAATCCATTGTTTGACATTCTTAAAATTTAGAAAACGTTGTTTTGAATAATATTTTTTGAAGAATATGTGGTTAAAAAATCTGAAAAAATCTCGAGTTTATGTGTAAATTATTTTATTATATGAATGAATAGTTAAAAATGAGTGTGAAAAATAAAATAAAATAAAATAAATTAAATTAAAGAAGGGGGCCTTGATGTTTAGAATCTTGAATTCAGTCTCTCTGGCAATGTAAATAGTATTATTCCATTAAAGATCAAACACTCACATGCAATGCAGATTGCACTAGCCATTGTAATTTCCTGCTTTCAATCAATTGTAATTTCAAGCTTTCTAGCAATCAATGATCAAGTTTAATTCAATGCATTTCAATTTCGTGTTGTAAGCTTTCTTTAAATTGTGATCAAATTTACTTTCGTCCCGGAACGAACGAGAAAAGGCGGAAGGTAGTCTAGCGGAGCAGATTACTGCCGCACGGTGTCCCTTTCTGTACTAAGAAGAAAGGTAACCCGTGAAACCACGCCTCGATCCATCTCACGAAGTACCAATTTGGTCTTCTCATCTACTTAACCCTTAAAAAAGATAGTATTTTTATTTTGTCAAAAAGATGATTATACTTTGTGTGTTGCTTAGCACAACGGTACTCCTTAAGCCTCTTGAGCTTTTGGGATAATAAATTTTATATACTACTGACTTTTAAAGAATGTGTGGTTAAAAAATAGGAAAAATTTTTAAATTTACGTGTAAAATTATTTTGCTGAAAAATTATATGATTAAAAATGAGTTTTAAGAAAGATGATTTTTTTTTGAGAACGAGGCTCAACATGGCTAAATGGTTCCTCTCTATATAAAATAAAAGTATTTTGTATAAGCCCTTGTTTGACATTCTTAAAATTTAGAAAACGTTGTTTTGAATAGTTCTTTTTGAAGAATATGTGGTTAAAAGGTCTGAAAAAATCTCGAGTTTATGTGTAAATTATTTTATTATATGAATATATAGTTAAAAATGAGTATCAAAAATAAAATAAAATAAAATAAATTAAAGAAGGTGGCCTTGATGTTTAGAATCTTGAATTCAGTCTCTCTGGCAATGTAAATAGTATTATTCCATTAAATATCAAACACTCACATGCAATGCAGACAACTGTGGTAGGCGCACCCAAACAGTATCACCTCAGAAAAGTAACCGTTGCATCTATTTTCTATTATTCTTAAAAAGTAGGCTACTAAAATATCTATTATTATTATTATTACAACTTTTATATTGCCATAATGGTCTTTGTGTGGCCAGATGTTCATATAATTTGCATTAGATTTACTTAGTCGATGGGATCTTTTATCTTAAATGGCGGAAAAATTACATAACGATTTGTGTTCATGTCACTCTTTTACTTACATGCGTATATTGAATTAGTATACTGATCGAAAGTTTTTGTCATTCGAGCACAACGAAAGCATTCCATCATCTTGAAAGATATAATTATTAGAACGTGACTATTTGGGTTAGGATAGTGATGCTTATTCTTAAACAGATTTGAAAAGGTTCATTCGTAGTGAAGGAAGCATCCTCACTTCGTTTGTGATCGATCACCTTTTATTGATTAGTCTTGCTCATTTTCAAATATTTGCTCACACTTCTTTCTCTTCTTCTCCATCCAAGCAAGTGCATAATGAATTTTCATTAATCACGATAAATCTTTGTTAAATTTTGATGTAAGAAACAAAATCTAATTTTACATAATTGTATTTAAATACATGAGATTAGAAAGAGATTTGGATTGTTCTTTTTTTGACGTAGGAATCCGCAACCCCTACTCGCCGCGGGGTCTCGACCACCCTGAAGGGGCGAAGGCATGACCACTGTGAATGCGTACTAGGTAAACCCAACTTCATGTGCAATAGCTCGCAAATCACATAAGAGAGATAAACAAATCGCACTACGTAAGCCCGGTGCGACGGGCTCGACCGAGGAAGTGCTGACAGGGAGATTTGAACTCGTAACCTTTGATCTTCAAGTTCACATGCTCCACCAACTCGATCACCCCCGAAAAGGTTGAGATTTGGATTGTTCTTGTCACTATTGTCGATTGGTACTGATAAATAAATAAATAAAGTCTAACTTGCTCATTTTTCCAGATGGATGAGTAGCTTATTGCTCAAAATGACACTTTTCTTGTCGCAAATTTAGTGAAGAGTATTCAGGAAAATCTATCTATAAGTGAAAGTTGGAACTAATGATGTCAAAAGATCAACAAATGAATTTTGATAATAAATGAAATACCATTGAAATTCAGGGCTAACCGATTATTTCGGGAAATAATCAAAATTATATAATGATCATCACACATTATTCACTCTATTTCCCCCCTTTTTTAAAGCAAGAAACATAATCATGTCTTTGAATCTACCACTCGAACTCAACTATTTTTCTAATATGCTACCCATGTGTGATGCCTCCTCCAAAAAGCTTATTAATTTGAACAAGGTAACTGTTCATAAGCTAATCTCATTCAAATTAAAAACTAATCCAAATCAAATTCAAGCATTGATCTGATTTTAATAATTTAATCAAAATGATGAAAGAATCCTCCTGTCTGGCGCGTCCCCAATAAATGGAAGTGACCCCAATCGCAAGAACCCTAAATACTCTCTACTCCACTCCATTTCACAATCTTCACTCACAAAGAGAGGAATAAATTGTTCTTTATCTTACTATTTTTTAATTTTTAATATTGTCAAGCTTACTCGATCAATGTCATTTCATTATATTTGCTTGACCTGTGAAAAAGTGAAAATAAGTTACTACTGTTGAAGTGCTGAGTGAAAAGGACAATAATGTCATATGGTGATTCCTTTCGTGGATCAGTGTGAGTAATTAAAGACCTTAGCTTTTGTTCTTTAATCGGGTTTTGTTTGATTTTCTTGTGTATTCTGCTGATGCCTTGCTTATTCCTTCAGCTTCCTATACGCACAGACAGATGTATGTAAATGTTGCATAATATATAGGCCATTTGCTGGTATTTAATTCGCTATATTTGCAGGTTATTCACAGGGAACAAATTTGAGTAGGTTAAGAACTGAACTTCAGGCTCATGTACGGGGATCAGGCATAATTTATTCTAAGGTAAATTACTATCCTAACTCATGCAGTATATTGATTTGCACAGTCAAGTGTATAATGTATGAGGTGCATTATTATTTTTTTTTTTTCAAGTTTCAGTTTTTGCTACTGACATTCCTTCTAGGTATCTTATTGCTGTTTATTGGTTATGGTGGAAATGCACAGATTCGAATTAGTGGGCTTGTGAGGAGTTGGACGGAGAAAGGCTAAAATGAGTAACAAGGAGTTGACTGGTTCTCTTATCGTGGTTATATTATTATTATTCAGTCTTTTGATTCTCGGAAAAGCTGAAATTTACATTGTGACGGTGGAAGGAGAGCCTGTGATAAGTTATACAGGCGGTGTCAATGGGTTTGAAGCTACTGCTGTGGAGACTGACTCTGATGAGAAAATTGATGTCACTAGGTACAAGTTATGTGTATTTTTTTTCTAGTTGAAATGTTTATTGCTCCTCGTATGAGAGGAAGTTATTCAGTAACCTCTATGTGGGACCATGATTGATGCTTTGTTTAGTTGAGTTTTCTTAATTTTGTTCTGTATGTTTTCTCTGGTGGTATTTAGATGATTTGATAATATGTTTGTCTTCATCTACTGTGTGGTTGTTAGTCAAGTGGTTGTGCAATGAACCATTTAGCGAAATATAGCCAGTCATGTAGCTGCCAATTAGCAGAAGATTTTATACCATTTTTACTTATAAGTTTCTAGTTTAGATCATTTCTATTTTGATAAGCAGCCTCTGTATCCATTGATCATTGTTTACTATGTCACATTAAATTTGAAGTAGTTGTGCCATTGTTAAAGGGTTTGACACCAATATTCTAGCATTGTTATAATACTATGCTTGAGTTCCGTGATGGCAACAGTAACATTAGAAAGGCTGTATGCTAATGCTTGGAAAAATTGAAATTTGGTGAACTAGTGTGTTTAATAACTCTAGTAGTGTAGTCATATATTTCTGATTCATCAAAATAATTTAAGTAGTAAATATCGTAAAAGTTGTGGATGTGAATGATTTGATTTGTGAAAGGTTCTCCTTTTGTGATGAAAGAACAGAAGCTCACCAAGGTGCTTTTTATGCCCCCACATAATCTCGAACTGGTTCATATTTTTTTTTGTGATGGTAATAATCCATGAGGATTGTCTGCTATAGATAATACTGTGTTTGATGCATCTCTATTCTCAGAACCGAGGTTGATTGAAATTTTTAAAACTTGATCTTCCTTTTGCTCTATGTTTGGCTCCCCTTCAGTGAATTGGTGACATCCTACTCCCGTCACCTAGAAAAGAAACATGATATGCTTCTCGGAATGTTGTTTGACCGAGGAACGTACAAGAAACTCTACAGCTACCATCATCTTATCAATGGCTTTGCAGTTCACATTTCACCTGAGCAGGTGAGGTTCTATGCTATTTATTTTCTTTTCATCAAGTTGCTTGATGTTCGATACTCTTCCACATAGATTCCTTACACCATCAGCGTATTAGTAGGCAGAAACACTTAGAGGAGCACCTGGTGTGAAGTCTGTGGAAAGAGATTGGAAGGTAAGGAGACTCACAACCCATACTCCTCAGTTTTTGGGGCTTCCAACTGGAGTATGGCCAACAGGAGGTGGATTTGACCGTGCTGGAGAGGATATTGTCATAGCCTTCGTGGATTCAGGAATTTATCCTCATCACCCAAGCTTTTCAACACATAATACTGAACCGTATGGACCTGTTCTGAGGTATAGAGGTAAATGTGAAGTTGATCCAGACACTAAGAGAGACTTTTGTAATGGAAAGATTGTTGGAGCTCAACACTTTGCTGAAGCTGCTAAAATGGCTGGTGCATTTAATCCAGGAATTGATTTTGATTCTCCCCTTGACGGTGATGGACATGGAAGGTTTGAGTTATTATGCTTTGGTAATTTAATTTGTTCAAAGCTGGGTGCTCTCATTACATTCTTCTAATTATTGAAATTAGTCTTCTTTCTTTGTTTTTTCCATGCATTTTGGCGGTTGGGGGTGGTGGTGGCTGCTGGTTGTGTAAAAATACTCTTTATTATGGTTCTGCTAGATATTTGAGGTATTAAATGCAAAAGTATATATTCTGATTTTGTTATGATGGGCAGGTGATTAAAAAGGATACCTATAATGCAAAACCATAACTAATAAATAGCTTGAGCTGTAGTAAATTAATTTTCATAGGAACTGATACCTGCATACGAGAGGATAGATTTCTTGAAATATGAATGGCATGGATACCTTCCTGCGCTGGAGACATTTAAAAACATGTCCAAGATGTGAATAGATGGGTGAAAAAAGTTTCATTTTGGACGCATTGAAGACTTAAGTCATGTCAATAGACTTACAAGTAATAAAAGAGAAGCTGTAATGTGGGCTTTAAGTACAAATGAGAACGCATGCCTACAGTAAGCAACATGTATAATGAACCCATCTATATTGGGCCACTTCTTTTTCCTTGAGTTCCAATAAAGCACTTACATTCTTTCGTCAAATACTTTTTGAAACCAAGAGCCACCAATCTACCACTACTTAATTCTCTTTTGTTCTGTTCATATGTTCTTTTAATTTTGTGAACTCCAAGATCCTTTCTGAATGATATATTATATGGATGTAATATTCCATTTTATTTCATAAAATGCATAATACATAGTAAGCACTAAATTAGAAGGGACTAAAAAGTCTCATGAGATCTTTTAGAAGTGATGGTTTTGCTCTCTCCAAATTGTAACTTTGTCAATGTAATTGTTATGATCTTGTTAAGCTTACTTCAAGAATACTTTTTTACCAGTCATACAGCCGCTATTGCAGCTGGCAATAATGGAATTCCTGTGAGGATGTATGGATTTGAATATGGACGAGCAAGTGGAATGGCACCCCGTGCTAGGTATAGTTATGTTAAAATACACTTGCAATGTTGTGAAACGAGCGTTTAATTCTTTTTCTCTCAATTAGAAAGTGATTTGCTCGACTATGGATGTTTGCCTTTTTTTAGGATTGCTGTGTACAAGGCACTCTACAGAATATTTGGTGGATTTGTTGCAGATGTAGTGGCTGCTATTGATCAGGTATTCTAAATTGTGTAAAGTTGATGTGTAAAAATATCTGCAGGGATGACAGACAAATACCTTGCTGTTTTCGGCTGAGACTGCATACAAATTGAGTAAAATATCTCGATCATACCGAGATCTTGCTCACCCACAATCAACGGTCGAGCACAAGCAAAAAAATGAATTCTCTGTTTCCTTGAGCAATGAAGTCTCCATAGAGTCTTGCTTCCACTAAATTTTTAGATCATAAAAAATTGGGGGGGGGGGGGGGGGGAGACACGTGCCCCCCAGGACCCCCTGAGTCCACCCATGTCGATGGAGTTGGGGTGGGGGGGGGGGGGGGGGGGGGGGGGGGATTAAGAAAAACCAGTCATTGAAGATATATATCCACCTTTGATCACCTTCTTTAGGTATAGGTGGGACAGAGCATCTTCTGTAAAGATCTCCATAGTTATTCTATTTGGAATTTGAAGTGACATAATTTACTGTGAATCAATGGAATAATTTTTAAATTTTATAAAAATGCTTTCTATCTTGAATTGAGAGCTTAAGGTTATCAAATCAATAAAATGAAAGATAATACAAGTTAGCTGATCCAATTGAGTTTATGACTTTTGTGTATTTGTCTTGGTAGCTGTCCTTTTTAAAATCAACATGGTTTGATAGATTTGATTCAGTGAACAAATCTTTTCATTAGTGTACGCCAAATTCCATTAGGGCAGATCAGATGTCATGGCTAACTTCGGTGAACAGATCTTGAGGCTTAGGTTGTTGCTGCATCTTTGACTCGATGAAAAGATCAAATTCCATTTGGGCGAATCAGATGTCATGATTGACTTCATAGACAGATATGCAAAAAGAAATCAGAGTTAAAGAGCATCAAATTTAAATATATATCTAGTGCATGTTTGGCAAATCTTAAGTAGTTTATGTTGGTCAAACTCACTTTCTATCCACACTTTCTGAGGGACCCACTGTTTAAATTATAATTTAAACATTCCCAAACAAGCACCTATATTGGAAACTGAATTGTTCTCATTCCAACCAGTCCATGTCAAATTTTTTATATCACCACCTATAATGAGTATTATTCTGGATTTGATTGTTAAATCTGATTGTATTATTATTAATTTTTTTATTAAAAATGTGTAGGAACTGCAAATATGTTTATTCAGTGTTGGTTTGAGTTCCCGTGACACAAATAGATCCTAAAGAAACAGATGATAAACCTCTCCTTTCTGCCTGAGGAACTATAAATATAGTTGAGTGTATTATTTGAACAGCATGCGTTGAAAGCCAAAATAGTATTGATTGCCTTGGTCTAAACCTGAATTCAATAAATATATCAGCTTCCTAAATCCGTCTAAAACCTGTATTCTTATTAAAGTTACTATTTATTGACAGGCTGTTCATGATGGTGTTGACGTTTTGAATCTCTCGGTGGGGCCTAATAGTCCTGGAGCAGCTACAAAGACCACATTTTTAAACCCATTTGACACTGCCCTTCTTTCAGCTGTGAGAGCCGGAGTTTTTGTTGCACAGGCAGCTGGAAATGGAGGTCCATTTCCCAAAACCCTGTTGTCGTATAGCCCTTGGATAGCATCTGTGGCTGCTGCAGTTGATGATCGGAGATATAAGAACCATATGACCTTGGGGAATGGGAAAATCTTATCTGGAATTGGGTTGTCACGTAAGTATCTATGGACTGATGTTCCCTTTTCATTACCTGTCCGGAGATGGGGAGTAAAATTGGAACTGCGGGCTCAAAAACTGGAATTAGAATTGGAAGTCATACCAATTAAATTATGGATACAAAAATTATAATGGATGATTATAAACTAATGTTAAAGGTAGAAATATTCAATGTTTGGTTCTTTTATTAAAACAAAGACATATATAATTGGTACAGACCTTGAATTTTTCTCTAATTTAGCCCTTGTTGGAGCCCCATTATTTGGCTAAAAATACATTTGGAAATAGTAGATTGATGAAGAATACGTGTAGTTAAAAAATAAGAAAAACTTTTGGATTTACGTGTAATATTATTTTAGTCAAGAATGTGTGGTTGAAAAGAAGAGAGAAAAATGTGTTTTGAAAATAATGGGGATCAAACAAGGGCTTATTCTGTTGACGAGCAGATTGGCATCACATTATACAAAAGGTTCACCATCCTTGTTCATGATAATTATTCATTAACGATCTCCCTTGAATCATGTTGCTTTTAAATCATCTGCTCTCTGTGTGAGATTTACTCTATACAAGTGTAAGATATAGTCATTTAGTGATACGATGCAGGCGGACTAACCTATTTTTCTTCGACAATTGATAAGTCTGTGGCCCATAATAATCTTATCTTGAAACAAGTAAGTCAACTTTTTATTAGCAGTCACCCTTCTCTTTAAAAGCATCTCCTTTTTGTCGTTTCTTTTAGGATTAGCCAGTCGAGAATAGATGTGTATTCACCTTTGTACTGGTGGTTTTAAAGTTTCAGAATGTGAAGGCGTGAATTCTGAGTTACTATAGTATGCTCATGCTGTAGAACTTAAAGGTACACTGGACCAAGTTATACGTTATCGCAATACAAGGATGAAGACAATTGAAGCATTAGCTAAAGATTGAAATAATGTTTGCTTTCACAGGACAATATATATATATATATTTTAACCATACTCGTTTATCATCAGTACTTGCCTGTGTCCTCTATGAATTGTCAGTATTTCTCTTGCTTTTTTTTTTGCTTCCTCCAGCTGACGTATATGTTGTGTCTTTCACTCTTGCTGCAGCTGCTACACATGCAAATCGAACATTTACCTTGGTAGCGGCTAATGATGTGCTGTTGGATTCTTCAGTTGCTAAGTATAGTCCTTGTGATTGCCAGAGGCCGGAAGTTCTAAACAAAAATTTGGTGGAGGGAAACATTCTTCTCTGTGGCTATTCTTTCAATTTTGTTTCTGGTACTGCTTCAATCAAGAGAGTCTCCGAAACTGCGAAGATTCTCGGTGCAGTTGGCTTTGTTCTAGCAGTGGAAAATGCTTCTCCAGGAACAAAATTTGATCCTGTTCCTGTTGGCATTCCTGGGATCCTCATCACGGATGTTAGCAAGTCAATGGTAAATACTATATCTGAATCCTATACTCGTAAGAATCACTGATGCAAGAAGAAGGATGTCTTACTCCTTTAAATGTTTTCTTCCAGCAACATTCGTTTGTAATCATTTTCTGGTCATTGCATGGTTATAACATCTTTTAGGAACTTATAGACTACTACAATGTTTCTACACCACGGGATTGGACTGGGCGAGTAAAGAACTTTAAGGCTGTAGGAAGCATTGGGGAAAGTTTGAAGCCTATACTCCATAAATCTGCACCACAAGTAGCATTGTTCTCTGCCCGAGGACCCAATATCAAAGATTACAGCTTTCAAGATGCAGATCTCCTGAAACCAGATATTCTGGCTCCGGGCTCTCTAATTTGGTCTGCTTGGGCTCCAAATGGAACTGACGAGGCAGATTATGATGGTAAAGTGCTCACGAAAACCATGCTCAAAACTTACTTTTCTAGAAAAGGAATTTTAATTAGCAAAAAAAATTAAATTTCTAGAAATGTAAGTTTCTTCGGTTAAAAAAAAAAATGTAACTTTGAAAATCATTTTGAGCAAAATAAGCAACTTAAAGAGTAAGTTTGACTTATAAGCACTGCCAAACAAGCTGTTGATATATCCTGTTTAGATAATTGAACAAGAGACCTGATGTCTCATTGTTTGGATCAGGTGAAGGATTTGCTATGATATCTGGAACTAGCATGGCTGCACCTCATATAGCAGGAATAGCTGCTCTTTTGAAACAGAAGCACCCTCATTGGAGTCCTGCTGCTATCAAATCAGCCTTGATGACTACATCAACAACCCTTGACCGAGCTGAGAGACCTCTTCAAGCCCAACAATTTTCTGAATCTGGAACTATGTCTCTAGTCCCTGCAACGCCTTTTGATTTTGGAAGTGGCCACGTTAATCCCAGAGCTGCTCTAGATCCTGGACTCATCTTTGATGCAGGTAATCAATCTTAGCTTTTCAGGTTGAATATATTTTTGGCTGATTGTTGATTGGGATATGACTAAATGTAAGGGGTTGCACCCCAGCTCCATTTATTACTTGAAATGAAAAGGTTGTCACAATTACTTCTTTTTTCATTGATTTAGGATATGAAGACTACTTAGGGTTCTTATGCACTACACCTGGAATTGATGCTCGTGAGATAAAAAATTACACAAATTCCCCCTGCATTTATACCCTTGGACATCCATGGAATCTCAACATCCCATCAATCACAATTTCACACCTCGTGGGAACTCAAACTGCGACGCGCACTGTGACAAATGTTGCCAACGAAGAAACCTATGTTATCACAGCACGGATGGCACCAGCAATAGCCATAGACACAAATCCTCCTGCAATGACTCTAAGACCTGGTGCATCTGGGAAATTCTCGGTGACTCTCACAGTTCGATCAGTTACAGGAGCCTATAGTTTTGGAGAAATTCTTCTGAAGGGGAGTAGAGGGCACAAGGTCAGGATCCCTGTTGTAGCAATGGGTTTTGATCGATAGAGTCAAATGTTCGTTTTGTGAAATTCTTTTGATCTCTGGGGAATAAGACACATAAAGTAAGATGTATTTCATCCAAAAAATATAAGTAATGGAAATCGGTGAAGGTCCCTCCGGGGAAGAGGTTTTAGTTCCTTCCTCTCCTGTAAGTTTTACTGATTTGTTTGTAATATTGGTCGAATCAGTGCATAGTATCCCCCCACATTGTAAGAAGTTATCTTTGTTTGAAGGATATTAGAAGGTTTAAATCCTTCTTTACTGTATTTTTTGACTGCTTTTGTAATAAATAGTTGGCTGAATTATTTTTTATTTAGCTGCAATTGCACTCTCTTGAAGAAGGTTGATTATAGTCATTTAAGAGAGAGTTTGGTATGATGAACTGAAGACTAATGAACACGGCAGTGATAAATTTTTGTAATTCGAGGCACCAAATATGTCATGGCTACTTGCAACTAATCAGATTTTGCTTAATTTTACAAATCATAAAAGATCTCCTTAACTTTTGAACAAGAAACCCTATAAATGCTCACCTCAAACAACAGAAGAGCCTCTGCATCTAAACTAATCTGCAATCTCGAGATTTAGAGCGTGTTTAGCTCCTCTTCTTGAAAAAAATAATTAAAAAAAAAAAGCAACTTTTTTCGGTTCATCACACTTGATACTGTGGAGAAAAGATGCTCTTAGTTTTCTTGTAAATCTGATTCACTTCTCCTGTTAAATGATATTTCTCTAATGGTAGCTAAAATAGGCTTCCATGATCTAGCTGGTGACTTCTGCATAGCATACGACGCCTGATCATTCTCCAGTTCAACTCCGGCCCTCGGGCTTGAAAACCGGTTAGGACTACTAGCCGGAGAACTCCATACCGGGCTTGCACCTTGTCGGCTGGACGAAAAACTTTGCCCGCCTGAACCAGTTTTGGACGGCGGGCACTTTTGCGCCAGGGCTGCTAGCTTCCTCGCTATTGGGGCCAACTCGACCGGCGAAACATTGGACTGTAACAGTGAATATGGTAGCATGAAATAGATCCTGCCAGGTTCGAGAATAGTTTCTGGCTTGAGAGGGACCGAGCCAGACAGTATCTGAGCATGAGTGAACAAGAACTGCTTTGTGGGCTTGCCAGTTACTTCACTAACTGTAACAGGATACTCTAAATCCTCAACAAAACCATTAAAATGCACAACCCTAATGCTCTTCTGTTCAGATATTGATGATCTTTTGCAAGAATAACTGCAGCCCATTTTCTATACACCCCACTTTTCACCCTATGAATTTTGATCTTGCAAGAAAAGAAGCTGGTCATCTACTTATATAAACAAGTGTTCGTCTAAACCGTAAAGACTAATAATAGAACGTCTGGTAAGGAAGATAAGATAATAAAGACAATATTAATATTCCCTTGTTTGGTACAATTTAAAATCGAGATTTTAATTTAATTGAAAGCCAACTATCAATTTTAACTATATATTTTATGGGTCCCATAACTTTTCAACCATACATCTCATCAATTTCTATCAAATTTGTTAAAAATCTGATTTTAATCCAGACCAAACATAGACTTAATAATGTATAGAAATTAGAATTTTGTTCATGATTGAGCACTAAATATTCGTTATAGTCACGAATTTTGATCTTGAAAGAAAAGAACCTGGTCATCTACTTGTAATAAACGTTCAACTAAATGGTATATACTGATGAAATGGTCGGTAAAAAAGATTGGATAATACTGGATAATATTAAATAATGCATAAAAATTAAAATCTTTCTCATGATCAATTACTAAATATTAGTTATACTGTACACTGTCAACTTCGCGTATACAATTTTGTCTACAAGAGCAGGTTTGAAGGCGGAGACTGAAGTCAGATAGACAGAGTCCTTGGCCCGTTTTGTGGAAACGACTTGTTCAAAGAGGGCTAATTATTTTATCAGTCATTAGATTTTTATAGGGTCACTAAGTTTTTTTCTCAATAGCCACTCATTTTCAAAATATGTTACCTGTTAGTCATTTATTAGAATTCCCTTGCGAAAAGTTAACTAACATGCCATGGTTAAGCTGGTAATTTACAGAGCAAATCGCATTTTGAAAACCCACTTTTGCAAAATAAAATGATACCTTTTCTAACACTTACAATTAAATCCCTCAAATTCACACTCCCAATTTATTCCACGTATGAAATGAGACCCAAAATTAGGGTTTTTCATTGAACCAAAAAGTAGGGTTTTTAATTAACTAAAAAAAATAGGGTTTCTGATTAAACCCAAAATTATGGTTTTTATTAAACAAGAAATTATGGTTTTTTTTTTTTTCCCTGTGAAGTTAATCACAAAACATCAATTACACTTTTTTATGAAACAAAAACTTAAATGGTTTTTGGTAAAATTTAATATAAAACAATGAATTTGGGTTTGTAATCAAAGAATAAAGAAAACATTAAGAGTTTTTAGTAAATTAAGCCCATGTTTGGTGGTCTTTTTGGGCAAAAGATTGTTTTGAATAGTGAATTTTTGGAGAATGTGTGGTTAAAAAGTATAAAAAAGTTTTAAGTTTACGTGTAGAATATTCTATCGTGTGAATGTGTGGTTGAGAATTAGCATGCAGAAAAAATGGTTTCGAAAAAATAGGAGACAAATATGGGCTAATTAAGAAACAAAAAATTAGAATTCTCAATTGTAAGATTGTCTTTGGGATATGAGGTTTAGGGATTGGTTCTACACGTTCTATTTTAAGCATTAGAAAAGTGCAAGTCGATTTCAACACCAAATTTTCGAATAGCGATTTGTCTTACACTTACATGATTTTGCCTAACGGGCTTCTTTTGACGGTGCATAATTGGCCACCTATGTATTCCGTCTTACATGTGGGTAGGTCCATAAAGTTGATTGAACAGAATTAGATGAAATGACGAACGAGTAATATGTTTTGAAGTTGAGTGATCATTGGAAAAATAAAATAAAATTGAAAGTTTAGTGAAATTGTAGTGACATGAAGAGAAGTTTAGTGACCAATAAAATAATTTACCCGTTCAAAGTAAATTTTGGTTGGATGAAAGGGAAATAAGTGGAATCAAAGACTGCCTTTCTGCCTTGTGCTAAGGTTTAGAATATTGAGTCTGCAAGTCTATGATGGCCTTGAATAATTAGTCATGATAGCGACTAATTTAGACTATTTAATGTTGATTTCTCAACTAAATTAAAAAAACAAAACCACAAAGAGACAAGCCACTTCAGCCACTCTGATTATATCTAATTTAAATCGTTTAAAATATTGAGTTTTTTTTTATTTTAAATGTCTTTTTTCGAGACATCGCTAATCGTAAATTACATTAAATTATATTCATCAAAAATTTAATGCGTGTATACTTTTTCATATATGATCGACATGAGATTTGAAGTTAGATCTTTACTTTGCTCTAGTATCACGTTCGATTGTGGAACCAAAAATTATTTGGGATGGGGATAAAAACTGTCTAAGGGGTAAAAATTTAAAAAATTCAAAATTTCTACATAAATTTAAATAAAATTTTAAAATATTGCTGTAGTGGTTGCCACCTTCAACGTGTATTGTATGGCTCCACCACCGACAACGTTAAACGTATCACATACTGTTAAAAGTCTAAATGCTACAAGAGACGAATAACACAATTTAAATCATGTTGACAAAAACAGGATTTATAGGACAGTAGAAAACGATGTAAGATTTATTAATTTGATGAGCCATTTACATTTTTCATTCACTAGATTAATGTAAATCTTGCCTAACATGGGTTATGTCCAGGTAATCCGCAAATGGAGCACGTCATTGAAACTTGACCCTTTTTCTCCCTACGAATGCACTACTATTTCCTTCTCTTCGTTTGCCTCTTATCGTTTCTAGTTTATGTCCGCCTCGATGGGATGATAATTTCAGCTTTAACCCATGACAAAAACATTCCATCGTTGATTAGGGATAACAAAAAAATCTAACGACCCGCAAGAACGGGACGAGGATTACCCGCTTAATCGGATATTCAGGTCGAGGACGGGACGACTAACTTTGCCCCAGGGCCGGTACGGGTCACCCGCCCCCACCCTGTTTATTATTATTATTTTTTAGAATTCAATACTTTGAATGGAAAATTTCACGAAATTTCATTAGTTATAATAAAAAAATAGTAACTAAGATTATCTAAAAAATATGACAAATAATAGAAGTCTTAGTTTATTAAATATATTTGAATAATTTAACTTTTAAAAATAAATAAAAAATATATTATTGTCCCACTTTAATGAATGTTGACAATAAAATGAATT